ATATTAGTTTCTGTTACAACTATACTTAAGAAGCATAGAGGCAACTAAAGATTTCCCTGCTCCGAATTTTCTTTCATGACGTCGAAAGAACGGCTAGAACCATTAAAAAAACTACGGGTTGTTTGTGTTCTCCGCTACCAAGCGCATTAAAAGGGTGAATTCCAACAGATTTGTCACAACGTACTTAAGAACGAAAGACAAACCATATTGTTTACGGTAAGAAATTTAGGTGTATTTATAGTTTTAGGTATGTAGCAATGTAACTATAATTATAGACATCCTAATTTAGAATTGTATCATATGTTGTTTTGATCATTCAAAAAACACGTATAAACGCGAAAGCACGTGAAAACACGTAATTTATTTGTTTGTTTGTGCCGGTGATACAAACTCCTCAAAAGGGAAATAATATAATTCGAGTCGTAATTTTATGTAACAATAACTAAACATTTTATGTACGTACCGTAATTGTAATTTTAAAACTTTGAAAACATTTACGTCTTTACAATGCGAATCAAGTATTCGATACAACAATATTGGATAAACTTCTGTAATAGGGGTTTCAAAATTAAAATCATTTTATTTTTCCGGTTTATAAGCTAACATAGTAAAAATACTATTTAAAAATCATACTTAATTCGTAATCCGTAAATTCGTGACGTATCGTTGAGTTTTGCTTGCGTAGTACGTCGTTATTTGGTGCTTCTAGAGTCTATTTGTGTAGTTCGTCGAATTTAGGTGCTTTTGTCGAGTTCTGCTCTTATTTCATCAAGCTTAGGTGAGTTTTTATCGTCTTTGGCGCTTTTCTTTCGACGAATTTCGGTGCTTTCTTTCGGCGATTCTTTAATAAATTGTTGGTGAGTCCTATGTCGTCTTAGGTGCTTTAATTCGTGGTTTTTTTTCTCATGAGTTTTCGTCGTTTTAGTTTCCTTCTTTAGGTTTTTCTTTGTAGTTTTCAGTGTTTTTCTTTCGGTGGATTATTCGTCGTTTTGGATGGATTCTTTGTCGTCCTCGGTATTATTTTGCATTATTTATTGTGGTTTCGTTGAGGTTTAATGGTTCATTCGTCGAACCTTGTGTAATTTTTGTGGGGTTCGATGCTTTTGGTCCGTTATGCAAAAACGTTTTCGACTTGTTCGTTGCGCAACGACGTTTTCGAATAACTTTTGTTGTACGCACTGTAAGTATTGCGTAATGCCGTATTGCCGTATGAAATTACAATATTTGGTGTTACGAAGGAATAAATCAGACTTCGGCTTGAAAGTTTGTTGATGAACCAAGCATCGCCCTAAAATCGATTACATTTTAAACTCAAAAATGTAGTTCCGACAGTTGTTATTTAACAGTAAATTTAGCAACAATGCTTTATTCTATAATGCTAAATTATATATAATTTCTCTTTTTCTTTCTTACGCAATATTAAAAAAATAATTTTCAAATTCCACGTTGTTTTTTTTTATACTGCAGATAATACTGAGATTACGAAATATTAGCGCTTTTATGAAAAAGAAGTTGTCAAAGAAAAGAAATTGCCACGATTTATGAAGTCATAAACACAGAAATTATGACATCTGAAAATAACCATAGGTTCTATTTCAAAGTAACAATAAATTCGAATACGCTCAAGGTTCAAGGCAATTTCTGAAGAATTCCGAAATTCAAAAAAAAAAAAAAAAAAAAAATTCCTAAGTTATTTCTAGAGTTGTGTTTTCGGACGCGACTTGCGCGAGATGCCTCTATAGATATTCCAAGAGAAAATTTGTATTTTAACATATTATAATCCTAGTACAGTAATCATTTGCTACTATTCATCAAATTTATCTTGAAGTAAATTCTAATTATTATACGAATATTAATTTTTTTTTTTAGTGATGAAGTTACTTGAATATATCTGTTAATTTTTAAATCCAGAAACGTAATTGATCGCTAATATGATATTAATATGATATCAATAATGATCAAATATACAAAATATAAATATGTAATTTGTTAATAATTTGCAACGCGTCGAAATGCCGGTTCAAGAAAATCCTATTATTACGTTATCAATTATTATTCCGCAAATTTTTCAGGATTTCCAAAAGTCTGCAAGCAATCACCGGAAAAATTCTATAGCTCTCCACAAAGTACAAGTGAAATGCTCATTGTATAAGCCTATAAATAATGGATCGTCTGACAGTCAAACAGGCTTTTAATGACGAATTTGTCAGAAATTTGAAAAAATTTTACCAGTAAAAAAAGGACAACCGAATTCCGAGCGTGTGATAAAATTCGTGGGTGAAAAAGTTTTTTTTTTAAGATTATCAAAAAGAGTTCGTTATATCATTAATTTATTTAATTTCTTCATTAGACAAAGAGCTTTTAACCGAACAAAATGAGAATCACTCTGAAGATGAGGATGACGATTATGCTGATATATTATCTTCACGCTTTACTGAATTTCTTATCCAGCTTGTTGAGAGCATTTTTGCGCACGCCTTTTTAACATGCAGATCTCTACACAGTGCATTATTTGTAATAAAATTATAACTATGCAATATTCCCTTTTGTACAATTGATGAGAATTAAAATATAATATTAACCTGTCTGTAAGACCCCAGTTTAATAATTTTT